AAAAATAAAGTAAATAAAATAAAAATAGAAATAAAAGATTTGGTTCGGAATTAGGGTATTTCGACTAACAAATTAGCGTTAAATCCTAATTCTGGTAACAATAGTTTCTAAATTTGTAATGATTATAATGATTATACAATCAATCCAAAAAAAAAAGCGTTTTCATTGAATTCGACTATAATGGAGGCCTGCGCAACAATATATTTGATTGATATAAAAACAATCGTCTTTCATAAATTTTTTAATATCATTAAAAATCAATAATTTTTTGATAATAATGGCTGATAATCCTGATAATCTAGAAATTAAAGATAATGACAGCGGTGGTAGTGGTAAAAAAAAAGAATATTATATTACAATTAGCAATGATGGAGAATATATAGCTAGACTTGATTGTAGTAAGGATGAAAGTTTAAGACTAAAAATTACACGTCACGAAAATTTTGAATTGTTAAATAATGTCAGTGACAGTGATATAGGACATGACAAAGTAAAGATTTGTGATATTGTTAAAAAATTAACGTTTTTAGATGAACTTGATCCATATGTAAAACCTTCAGATGTAAAAGGTCCACAAAAAGAGGATAATAAAAAACAAAAAGAAAAAACAAAAAGGGGTTATAGAAAACTAGAAGATCAAACAAAAGATGAAAGATTCAAATGGAAATGAATTCGTAATTTGTAAATTAAAAAGAATTTTGACCAGCTAGTAGTCGATTAAGGAATTTTTTGGACAATTCCAATCTCTACTTCAAAATGTTTCTAAAAAATTTTTAGAATTCAAATAATCTAATAAATGTATCAATAAGATATCCATGAATAAATGGACCTGGTTGTGTTGCACAGCAAAAGCTAGCAGCTACTCGAAATAGGATATCAGAAGTTAATAATCAGGTGTTTGATGCTTTTCTTATGGATAAATACAATGTAACCATGAGTTCTTATACTCTAATCCTTTATTTGAAGGATAACAAGCAAGAACTTTGGAAATATTTTGAGGCTACTTATCTTGATGGAATTAAACGGACATCATCATTTATGAAGTGTTTGGCAAGCGGACCATAAGGAAACCTTCTTGACAAAACGTTACAAAAAATAATAAATAAATTTTTTTATTACGCATCCACTAAATATATAAACTAGATTTTTAAGCTATTTCTACATAAGCTTTTTGATTTGGTATAAAAGACTACGAAATTTCATTTGATTTCTTTAAATGTCAAAGTTCACATCACTGATGCTATGATTTCATCCATTCTCACTACACATCTCAACTATATTGTCTTCTTTAAGTTACATATTCTCTAAACGCTTTAACATTTCTTCCACAATCAAGCCTGATGATTCTTCTGACCTTTAAATATATAAACATAAATAAATATATTCATTTAAAAAAATTTAAATTATAATATTGATATTAATATTGGTGATATAAAGATATAGATAGACG